AGGATTTCAATGATTATGCACCTCTATCTCCAAAATAAAATAATAAGAGATAAATTTGATGAAATAAAAGAAATACTAAAGAAAATTAATAGACTAGAAGATATAGTCAATGAAATTAAACAGAATAAAGTGCATCATGAAATTAAAAGAACATGATGAAGAAGGAATAAAAGTTAAAGCACTAGAAAGAATAAAATACATAAAATATATGATGACAATGATTAAAGAAAGAATTAAATTTAATAAAAATGAAATAATCAGAATCAATACAAATAAAATAATGTTTGATTCTAATAAGAAAATTAGAATAAGGAAGAAAGAAACAAAAAATGAAATATACCCAAATAACGATATTACTTTAGAATATTGGAAATCGTTATATGAAACACAGGTGATATTAAATAAAGAAAATTGGAAATAAAACAAATCACCTCGTGGAATGAAAGATATGTCAATTATGATAGTGTCATAATAACAATAAATGAATTAAATTTCAGTTTAAAGAAAATAAATAACTGGAAAGCACCAGGAATAGACACTATATATGGGTATTATTGGAAAAGGATGTCATCATCAAGAGAAATCATTCTTAATATCTTCAATGAATGGTTAAACTTCATTCAAAACATCAAATGAGACATGGTAAGTTGAAGAACTTTATTAATCCACAAATTGATATGAATGATGTCACTAATTATCGTCCTATCAGTTGTACAAATGTAATTATGAAAGTATTTACATCAATATTAAAAGAAAAGATTCACAGAAGACTTAACATGAATAATGAATCATTGAAAATTAGTAAAAATCAACTGGGTTGTAAATTACAATCTCTCCCTGCTAAAGAAGGAATAATTAATAGTTATATGATGAAGCAGCAGAAAGAAGAGAAATACCCAAAATATGTGGAGTCATATTATGACATTAAGAAAACATATGACACAGTAAACCACGAATGGGTAATTGAATCATTAAAATATTTTAATGTAGAGGGTGTCATCATTGACGTTATTGAAAGTATGATGACTAGAAGGAAGATATTCATCGGCTATAAATTTAATGAATATCTAGGTAGTATTAAATTAAATAGAGGAATTTTACAAGGTGATTCATTATCAAATCTACTCTTCATCATACAGATGAATGTAATTTCTCAAATCATCGAAGAGAAATTCCCAAAAGCAAATCACACATTATATATGGATGATTTGAGAATAATGACGGAAAGTAGTGAAGAAATGGGAATAATACACAATGAAATTAAAGAAATAATAAGTGGAATAGGGATGGAAATGAATGAGAAAAAGTCCGGATTGGTATTAAAAAACAATAAGAAATACCAGATGGAATGCAAAACATCCCAGTCATTGAAGGTGAGGACTTGTATAAATACTTAGGAATATGGCAGTCCGATGAAATTGATGACACTTTCAATTGTAAAACCATCAAAGAAAAAATGATGAAGAAGATGGAAGAAATAAACACTGATGAAAGTAGTAATAGAAGATATATTACAAGAATAAACACTGAAGTAATCAATATCTTCAGATATTCAGCATCAGTTGTAAATTGGAAAATCACTTAGATAAAATTGATTTGGAGATAAGAAAATATTTAAGAAAGGCAAAATACATTGGTGCCGGAAACTCCAAAGATAGGTTGTATGTCATTATAGAAGAAATGGGTGAAGGATTAATAAATCTAAATGATGAATATGTTAATGAATTAGTTAGAACAGTGATGTACTACTGTACCAGAGAAAGTGAAATTGGAAATAACATATTAGATAGATGGTACAGTAAGAATGGAATGTGGAATAGAATTTAAAACATCAATTCATAAAATCCCAGAAACAAAAATAGAAGAAATAATAAATGAAGGGATAGAAAAGAAAAAAGAAAAAGAAGTAGTAGTGGAAATAAAGAAATTATTGACAAATACATCAAAAAATGGAAGTGTCATCAAATAAGTGACATTTTAGAAGATGGAATGAGTCAAAATGAGTAGATAAAACTACTACAGTGAAACCATGGAAGTCAATCAATATTAAAAAGAATGCATTTCTCCAATTAACTAAAATGCAAGATGGAGCAATATTTTGTGGATATAAAAAATCAAAAATAATGAAAAATGAAAGAATGAAATACTCAACACTGTGTAAAGACAAAATAACAACAGTAGAACACATTCTACTATCTTGTATTTATCATAAAAAATCACAAATAGAAAAACATGACAATATTGGTATTATAATATTGATTAATAAGAAAATACACAGGAAATAATCAATATAAAAATACAATATGAAACAGTGTTCCAATATAAAGACATCACTATGATATGGAACAAACAAATAATGCCTAAAAGTGATGGACAATATCACAAAAGACCAGACATATACGTATTAGATAAAAAGAATAAAACTAGTCTATTATTTGATATGACTAATATAGCTGATCACAATATCAATGGAGCCTATTTGAAGAAAAGAAATATGTATAAGGAATTAAAGAATATGTTAATGAAGATAGAAAAATTAAAAGATGTCAGAATAATTCTAGTAGTAATTTCAATAAATGGATTAGTAAATAAAGAAAGTATCAGATTAATTAAAGAATTAAAAATTGACATTGACATCAAGAAAGAAATTAAAAACTATGTAATTAAAAACATGATGAATGTCACGGAATACTGCTTCTATCACAACCAAACATACTCAGTAGAAATACTAGAAAAAGACAAAGATATGGGATTAGTCTCATCCAATGAAGGAACAATAGAAGTTAGTTCTATTAATACTTAATTAATTGCTTATTATTTTATTTATTATATTTCTTATTAAAATACATCAAGATTCGAAGATGGCACGTCAGAGACACCACATGAAACCCTAAAATAATCCCATGCTTCGAATCTCCCAGTTATCGTCTGGTCATGACGTGCCTTTGGTGAGATAATATCTATTCAACACTAACTGTTTATTATTATTAATATTTATTAGAAGTGATTATTATTCATTAACGTGTATTGTTATTCATTGAGGTGTATTGTTTATTAAGAATTATTATTTATAAGGATTATTATTTACTAAGGAGGTATTATGTATTAAGAATTATCATTTATTAAAGAAGACGCATATATAATTGATACTGTTGCACAAAAATTAAACATAAGGATATTATCAAGGAATAGGGTTTCTTTAAGGGGTGTCGAAGGTAAAGGAGATGAGTCATAATCATTAGATTATGGATATACTCTCCTTAAAACAACAATATAAAGAATGAGAAATATTATATTACTCATTAAAATCAAAATAAAAGTCAGGCAGCAACTTAATTGAGGAACCATTTAAGTCGAGCATGTTTGCAAAAACTTTATTTCAATAGAAATAAAGCGTGTTGAAGAAACTGATTCACTCACTTCTCAACATGATGAAAACCTAAAAAATAAGGTTAATCATAATTGATTTCTTTTTTTTTTTTTTTTTTTTTTATTTCTTATTAAAATACATCATCATAATCAAATAATATTTGATTATCGTTTGAGGCATGAAATTATTTTAATGATTGTGAAGTTGAGATGTATCAACTTCAAATCATATTGAAAGTTATAAAGAAGTAGAAAATGAATTATAACAACATTACAAGCATTAAATAGTATAAAAATGAGACAAATAAAAGATATTAATATATTAATAAAATAACAGTTAAATTTGATGATATAAACGCATAAATAAGCATATTAATACAACAATTTGGTAATACAAAAAGTGATAAAGAAACGAATAACAATTTAAATACTATGACAGTTTAAAACAAGGAAAATATAAATACATAAATATTATATTATAAATTAGTTGGTTTTTCTAAAACATTTAATTATTCTTTTTTTTTCTATTTCCTTCTGGATATTCATTTGTTATTTCTCTTATTTGTCTTCGTTCATATTTACTAAATTTCATTTACATTTTCGATAAATCTCTTTTTTCTTTTCTACTTTCATCTCTTATGATTATTAATATTATTTCTATACATTTTCTAGAGTTTATTCTTTTTTATACTCTCAACTTTTTATTGTTGTTATGTCTTTTTTTTGATTAATTCATATGATATGGTTTATAAAATTAATATATTTCATTAACATCATCAACAAAATATCTTAAGAACTTTATTTTTTCTTTTTTTTATACTTATTGAATATTTCATTGAAAATGTAATTCATTGGTTTGATAGATAAGTTTTATATTGTTTTTATTATGGTTATTTTAATTAATTATCTTTCAATAAAATTCAACTCTGCTGAGTTGTATTTAGATTTTTTTTGATAGTTTTTTAAATCAATTTGTTTATATATTTTCATAATTTTATGAAGAAAATAGTAATACTTCTCATAGTAAATATGAGTTTGGTCACAACACAAAGAGGAGTTTTATATCAATTCATTTTCATGGGTTTTTAAAGGGATTAACTAAAATCAAAGAAATGAAAAAGTTAATTATCAAGAAGAATAAGAAAAACCATTTTTTTGAAGTGAAACGAGAAAATGATTTGAGTTAAATAAAATTATTGATTTAATAAATGTTAATATTTTTAAATTAAAAACAAAAACAATTTAAAAGAAATAAAAACCAAGAAGAATGATAAATAGTTTTTAATTAACTCAAAAAAATTTCGACAGTACAAAAAATTAAATTAAAAGAATAAAAAAAGTCTTTAAACAAAAATAACGACTTTTGTTGTTTTTGAAAATTCATTAAAAATTTTTCATAAAAAAAAAAGGGAAAAAATAACTTAATGTTCATAAAAAGCTCAAACTGAAATGAGAAGCTTATTGATATTTTCAGTTTTATTAATTCAAAATGTCTTTGCTGTTTGTGAAAAGAATGAAACAATAATTCGAGGAAGTTGTGGAAAATGTGAAGATAAATTTAATTTTTGTTCATTTTGTGATGAGAATAGTTGTCTTTCATGTAATGAAGGTAAATATTTAAATGAAGGAAGATGTGATTTATGTCCCAGTTATTGTACTAGTTGTTTTTATGGTTTTTGTAGTTCTTGTGAAGATGGATTTTTTCCAATGGGAGGTAATTGTATATCTTGTTTAGTTAATAATTGTACTAAATGTCTTTCAAATGGAGCATGTTTAGAATGTGATTTAAATCATTATTTAAATAATAATAGTTTATGTTTATCATGTGAAGAAGAATCATCATCAAAATATTCTCGTTGTTATTTAAATTCAAAAGGAGAATTAGTTGGAACTCAATGTGGTAATGGATATTATAATAATACAAATAATGAATGTACTTTATGTGATGTTAATAAACAATGTAAGACATGTTCTCCAATTACAGGGAATTGTATAAGTTGTGATTCAACAAAAATATTAATAGAAGGTTCATGTGTAGAACAATCAACAGTCCATTGTTTAACTTCTAAAAATTCAAGATGTACTCAATGTGATATAACTTCATATTTAATACAAGGAGTTTGTTATGAAACTATTCCTTGTTGGTGGTCTAATAAAATAACAGATAATTCTCAAGTAGAAACATCTGATAGTTATTCTATAGACCCTAATACTATTATGGTTAATAATTTATGTTTTGATAAATTCTCAACACATTGTCTTCAAGTAAGTACAAATACTCATAGTTGTACAGAATGTGCAAATGGATATTATTTATTTGGTGGTTTATGTCTTCAATGTTCTTCTTTCTATGAACATTGTATTGATTGTGGAGAAATTCAAATGAATAATTTTACTCATACTGTATGTACATATTGTGAAGAAGGATATTTTAGTGATGTTGGATGTAGTCCTTGTAGTATGATAAATGGTTGTAACAAATGTGAAAATATATTAAGAAAAGGAGATATGTCAACAAAGATTTGTTATGAATGTATTGATGGATATGAACTAATAGATGGAATATGTAAACCACTTTTAAATTGTGTTATGGCAACTGGATCATTTTGTCATGTTTGTCGTAAGAATTATCTTCCTCAAAATGGAAAATGTGTTCCAATGAAAGAAGTAATTCCAAAATGTTCTTCTACTTTAAATGGTAAATGTAATTCTTGTGAAAAAAATTATTATCTTACTAGTACAAATGAATGTCGTTTATGTAATATTAAAGGATGTTTGACTTGTTCAATTGATGGAACTTGTACTTCATGTGAAAATGGTTATTGGTTAGATAAACGATTTTGTAGTACATGTGATTCAATAGCTAATTGTATTGAATGTAATACTGATGGTTCAGGATGTTTATATTGTAAAGAAGATTATTATGTTTTAAATGGATCATGTGTTTCTTGTTCTTCTGGAATTACTGACCATTGTAAGTCATGTTTACAAAAAGGTAATACAACTACTTGTACTGTATGTCAAGATGGATATTCTCTTCAAGATTCAACATGTCTTGAATGCAAGAATCTTGATCCTTTATGTTTAACTTGTTCTTCATCAGAACCTCGTTGTTTATCATGTACATCAACACATTTTCCAATGGGAAAACAATGTTTAGAATGTTCTACAAGATTAGCTCATTGTCTAAAATGTTCAAGTTCAGAAGAATGTACTGAATGTGAAAGAGGATATTACTTATCTAATGGAGAATGTTTTCCATGTTCAGGTATGAAAGGGTGTCAAATATGTAGTAGTGGAACAGTATGTACAACATGTGCTGAAATTTATAGACCATTAAAAAAAGGGAATGAAGTGATATGTTCTTTTGATGGAGGAGTAGAACATTGTAGGACATTTACAACAGAAGGAGTATGTACAGAATGTTATTATCCTTACACATTAGATACTTCATCAAATGTATGTCTTGATTGTCTTTCAACAATTGAGAATTGTGGAGAATGTTCAACAAAAACAAAACAATGTACTTCATGTATTTCTAATTTATATTATTTAAATAATGATAAAATGTGTGAATTATGTTCAGTAAGTGTGCCTCATTGTAAAACATGTTCTTCTAATGGTAGTTGTCTTTCTTGTATTTCTGGATATGAATTAGAGAGTAATAATTGTAAATTAAAATCTACTAAAGAGAGTGTTAAATATTATAATAACAAATATGAATATAAGAGACTTAATTCAAGTATTAAATATGTATCTTCAAATAATAAAAAAATAGTTAAATGTCAACCAAATTGTAAAGAATGTAATAATAATGAATGTGTTAAATGTGATGATTATTATTATTTAGATAAAACAACAACATGTGTTTCATGTTCAAGTCATTGTATTTTATGTAATAATAGTAATGTCTGTATAAAATGTGATTCAAAGACATATCTTTCTAATGGAAATTGTATTGATATTCCAATGTTACATTATAAAAAAACAGAAAGTAGTACTGAATTATGTTCTAAAGCAATTTTTTCATGTTCAACATGTTCAATTGATCAAGAAAATGTAATATGTAATTCTTGTATTAAAGGATATGCATTTTATTCAAAAGAACAACGCGTTTGTGTTTATCATCAAGGATTAATTGATTCAGATGGAACAAGAATTTTATGTCCAAAAGGATGTAATATTTGTGATAAAAATTTACGATGTTTAAGTACATATAGTGATAATTCTTTTATTCAAAATGGTCAAATAGTAAAAATGACAAATTCTAATGAATGTCTTATATTTGACACAGACATCGGTTGTACTTCATGTAAATCTTCAATTACATCAAATGGAATTTGTTTACCAACTACTTCTCAGTGTAAATATCAAATAGTTAATTCTGATGGTTCTACTGTTTGTATTAAAAGTAATGTAGTTAAACAATTATCTCTTAAAACTACTGATACAATTGAATTTCAAACAACAGTTCCTAGTTGTTCAAATGGTAAGTATTATGGAAAAACAACATGTGTAGAATGTTCAAATACTTGTTCAACATGTAATAATAAAACATTATGTACATCTTGTAAAGAAGGAATATTAACTTCTGATGGACAATGTACTACATCAAATAATTGTGAAACATTTACAAATTCATCATGTGTTAAATGTAAATCAAATTATTATCTTTTAGATAATACTTGTATAAAATGTCCAGAAGGATGTCAAGAATGTGTAAAACTTCATTCAGGAATTAAATGTAGAATGTGTAGTAATTCTTCACTTATTTTAGTTAAAGGAACATGTGTTACATTACAACAAGCCCATTGTAAAAGTAAATTAAAAAATTATCCATATTGTTATGAATGTGAAAGTGGATTTAAATTAAATAAAGATGGATCATGTGAATTAATTTCCATTAAAGATTGTAAATATATCTTTAGAGGTGAATGTATTAGATGTTTAAGTCAAAATTTATTACTTTCAGATTTAGGAGAAATGACTTGTGATGAAAAAACAACCGAAAGATGTTTAGTTGATTCACAAAGTGGTTGTTTAAAATGTGTTGATGGATTTTATCAGGATAATCAAAATAATTGTCAACCATGTGATGTTTCATGTCTTAGATGTGATGGAACATCAAAAAATTGTAGTTCATGTAGTTTTGGATATTATTTTAATGATGAAGGAATATGTGAATATATTGGAGAATTAGCTCATCAATGTAAGAAATTTGTTCCAAATGGAAGAAGTTGTGCAGCTTGTAATGAAGGATATATTCTTCATGATGGTGGAACATGTGAAGAATGTAATGAAAAATGTGTTAGTTGTATTAAAAATAAAGATATATGTTTAGTTTGTAATGTTCAAAGAGGATGGTTTTATGATGAACAACAAGGTAATGAATTTGAAAGATGTCAACCAACTTCATCTTTACAACATTGTAAACAATTTGAACAAAAAGGATGTTCATTATGTGAAAATGGATATTATGTTAATGCAAAACATCGTTGTTCACCATGTAAAATTGATTCATGTTTTGAATGTACATCTAATCGATGTAATAAATGTAATGATCAATATGTTTTAAATCATCAAACTTGTATATATTGGAAAGACATTAAAAGATGTATTTCATATGACTCATCAACCAAAAAATGTAATAAATGTCAATCTTTATATATACCAACAAATGATGGAGCAGAATGTGTTTTTAATACAATAAGTTTAATTTTAGTTATTGGATTGCCATTATTTGGGATAGCAATTATTATTATTTTAACAATAATTATTATTTCATATATTTTATTTGCATTACATAAAAAGAAAAAATTAGAAGAAAGAAAAGCAAAAATCACTGAACAATATATTGACGTTTTAGAAAGTGAAGGAATTTATTTAAAACCTTTTGGTGGAAATAATTCTTTTGTTGTTAGTAGTACTGATTGTTTAGAATTTTATGGAGAACTTGATGATGAAGTTCCTGTTGGTTTAGAAACAATTCAAACAATGTTTATTGGAAATAAAAGTGCTAAAATAATAAAATGTCAATTTAGTTATAAATCAATTGATGAACGTGTAAGAGTTAGAGTTGAACCAGAACTTATTGATATTAAAAAAGGACATGCAGTACAATTTAGTATTTCAATTCTTCCATTTTGTTCATGTGAAATAGATGAAATTATTCTTTTTACTGCTGTTAATATAAAAACAAATAAAATTATTGAAATTCCTGTTCATATTATATTTAAAACAGTTTTAAGTACAAAACTTGATTATAATGATTTACAAATAAAGAAACAAATTGGTAAAGGGTCATTTGGAATTGTTTATCTTGGAGAATTTAGAGGAAGTAAAGTTGCAATTAAACGAATGATTGAAAATGCCAGTGATACAAAACAATTAGAAGAATTTGAGAAAGAAGTAGCAATGTTAGATAAATTTAGAAATGATTATATTGTTCATTTTTATGGAGCAGTATTTATTCCTAATAAAATATGTATGGTAATGGAATTTGCAGAATATGGTTCTCTTGAAGATTTAATTAAAAAAAGAAGTAATAATCCTTTATCAATGGAACTTCGTATGAAAATTATGTTGGATGCTGCTAAAGGAATTGAATATCTTCATTCAAATGGAATATTACATCGTGATATTAAACCTGATAATATTTTGGTTGTATCTTTAGAAGAAAATATTAAAGTTAACGGTAAATTAACTGATTTTGGAAGTGCAAGAAATGTTAATTTAATGCTAAGTAATATGACATTTACTAAAGGAATTGGTTCACCAACATATATGGCTCCAGAAATACTTAATAAAAAGAAATATGAAAAACCAGCAGATATTTATTCATTTTCAATCTCTTTATACCAAATAATTATTTACCATGACCCTTATAAAGGAATATGTGAATATCCATGGGATATTATTGATTTTATCCAAAAAGATAATTATCTTCCTTTCCCTGAAGAAGCAACTGAAGAGATGAATTTATTATTACAAAATACTTGGAATCATTCTCCTTTAAAACGAATTAGTATAAAAGAAGTTATCTGTTCGTTACAAAAAATCTTACAATCAATTCGTTCTAAAACAGAAAAAACAATTTATTAATTTATAATATTGTTTTTATTTTAATAACTTTATAAGAAATTAAAAAAAATCTTTTTTTTATCTTCAGTTTTGTTCTATTTTTATATCTCACAATAATAATAAAACAATTTTACTAATATATTAAATTTGTTATATTTAAAAAAAAAAATAATGTAATGAAAAACATAATTTAATTCTATACTTTTTTTTTAATACTGAATTATATTCATAAATTTATTCAATATGATTAAATTAAGTTTAACAAGTTATAATTTCATTATTTAATATTTCATGTATTTTTGAATTGTTTTACTCTAAAAATCAATAAAAAAATCTATAGATAAATATTATATGTAATTAAAGAAAATTTATAGTTAAAAAGAAAAATAATAAAATAATAAACTAAATTTAGAGAATATAAAACAAATGTAGTAATTTGATAGAATTTTGTTTTAAGAATCTTTAATATCTACTTTTTTTTATTTTTAGACTTTCCAAAAATAGATTTTCAAACAAAAAAATCTTAATAAATGTAAAAATAAAAAAAACAAAAAACAAAAAAAAAAAAAGAAGGAGAAAGAGAAAGAGAAGTAATTTGTAATTAAGAAAAAAAAAATGAAAAGAACTTAAAGATTGAAGTTATCAAATAGTTTATTCAATGAAACAAATACCGACGTGTTTGCTTCGGATAGAAGAACAAAGTTTAGGAGAAGAACAGTCTATGAAACGATTATCAGAATTAGCAGACATACGAGAAAAAGCAATAAAACAAGGGATATTTAATTCAGTTAAATCATTTAAAGAAATGGATACCAATGAGTTAATGTATTCAACAATAGATTTTCTTATTGGGACAATCTTTAGTAAAATAAATAATAAATCACAAGAAAGTAATTACTTATCATCTTATCATTTTGATTTATTTCTTAAATTAATGGTTAAAATGAAATTATGTGTAAAAGAAACATATCGTTCTACTTTATATGGTACTATAGAAGTTGGTAATTATCCTAAAGTACCTAATAGATCACAAACAAAAGGAATATTAGTTGATATTCAAGACAGAACATTTTGGATAGCAAGATTAAAAGATTTAATACATTCAGCATTATTACAATTACAAACATATATACTTCAATGTAATACTTTAGGACATTCAATAGATTTTTCATTAAATACATATTCTTTAAATTTTTTTGAATTAAAATCAGTATTTATTGGAATTGATATTCAATTATTATTTCATGATTTATCAGAACCATTTAATGAATCAAATGATATTACTAATTCTCCTTCAAGTAAATCTACAAGAAATGAAAAATCTCTTTCACCACCATTAAGAATAACTCGATGTAAAACAATGCCAAAATGTTATTCTTCACGTACATCATTAATAGAAATGACTACAAAAAAATCAGTAGTAATTCCACGAGCAAATGAGAAAGAATTAGTAATAGTTAATGTTAAAGGAGTAAAAATAATATATAGAAATGATGTTCCAAGTAATATACAAAATATAGAAAGAGAAGGGAATATCATTATTACATCATTTAAATTTTGTTTTATTGATGATTCAGATGGAAAATATAATATTTTTGTTCCAATGACAAAAATTGCAGATTTTAAAAAAGTGAATAACAATAAATCAGAACATCGTAGAATTCTTGAATTTAATACAAAAGACAATATTTATGTTAAATTCTCATTTCTTAAAAATCGTGAAGAAAGAAAAAGTATTTTCACTGCATTAAATAGTTTAGTATTTGTACCACCAACTTCTTTAGAAATATTTAAATTAATTGAATCTATTCCAATAAAACCAATAAGTTATTATAATGTTTTAGATGAATTTATTCGTCTTGGATTAAATAAATCAAATTCAAATTGGAGAGTATCAAGAATTAATGATGATTATGCTTTTTGTCCAACTTATCCAAGAGAAATTATTGTTCCTAAAGAAGCAAGTGATGAATTATTATTAGAAGATGGTTCATTTAGAAGTAGACAAAGAATTCCAGTTATTACATATGTATCTTCTAAAGGATCTTCTATTGCAAGATGTTCACAACCATTATGTGGATTAACTGGAAGAAAATGTCAAGCTGATATTGAACTTCTTAAAATGATTACACATGGAGGACCATCACATAAACTTCGTATTCTTGATTCTAGACCAAAAGCAAATGCTGTTGCTAATATTGCTATGGGTGGTGGTTATGAAACTGAAGAAGATTATCCATTTGCAACAATAGAATTTGAAAGTATTGATAATATTCATGTTGTAAGAGAAGGTTGGCAAAAATTATGTTGGTATTGTATGCAATTACCAGAACATTATAAAACAAGTCAAATTATTAATTGTAATGAAATTCAACAATGGTGGAAAATTATGTTAGCTATCTTTGCTTCTTCTATTAAAATGTGTAGATATTTAGAAGCTGGAGAAAGTGTATTAGTTCATTGTACTGATGGATGGGATAGAACAAGTCAATGTTGTTCATTATGTGAAATAATGTTAGATCCTTTTTTCAGAACAATTGATGGATTTATTATTCTTATTGAAAAAGATTGGAAATCATTTGGACATAAATTTATGACACGTGCAGGAGTTGGTGTTCATTGTCCACATAGTCAATATTCTCCAGTTTTTCATCAATTTATTGAATGTGTATTTATATTATTACAACAATATCCTACATCATTTCAATATAATGAAGATTTTCTTATCGAAATAGATGATGCAGTATTTTGTCATAATTATGGGACATTTCTGTTCGATACAGATTGTGAAAGAGAAAAGTATCACGTAAATGAAAGGACACCATCTTTATGGTCTATGATTATTGAAAATAGAGAATTATTTACTAATCATCAATATATTCTATCTGATAATAAATTACATTTAAATGGAATTCCAAAATTTGTGTTATGGGAAAAATATTATTTTTGTAACAGAAAACTTTAAATTCATTTTTATTTTATTTTAATCTCTATTAATCATTATATTATAAACCTTCTTTTAATTTCTTTTATAAAATAAGAAATAAATTAAATGAATTAAATAAATGATGATGAAATTACACTATTTACTTGTTGAGCTTCATAGAATGAATGAATAATATCTAATGAAAATTCAATTTCTTCATTACCATTAAAAAATGATTTAATATTATCATAGAATATACATCCTTCATTAATTATTTCTTTTTTATTCCATTCTTTAGATAAGATAATATGTTCTAATATTCTTCTTTCTGGCATAAAGTTTTTTTCTGGTTTCTTTTTAACACATTCTTCAAAAGAAAATCCAAAGAAATATTTAAGAATATCAAGGATTTGATTATCAATAATAATAAAAATCATATTTCTTTTATATCTTGTTTGTTCTTTCATTCCTTTAAGAATATTACTTTGTTCAATTTCTTCTTCAATTTTATTTCTAGAAATTAGAAGAATATTTTGATAGAATACTTCTTCTATTTTTAATTTTTGATAGATTCCTTCTTTTATTATTCTTTTCATCTTTATAGTACATCCAAGATAATATAATATCATCATAAGAAATCCTTCATTTCCATAATCATTCCTATTGGCATTTGCTCTATTTTCTCTCTTTCTTTTTCTTGTTTCTTCTAAATTAAATGCTTTTCTTTTTCTTCCTCTTTTCTTTTTTTCTTCTGTTAAAAGGTTAAGAAGTGTCACTTTATATGTTGAATTATTCTCCATTACAATAACTATGAAATTTAAGTTTCCTCAAGCATTTATAATTCAACAGAAACATAAAGTAAATCAACATTAAAACAGTCTTTCATTAATACAAAAATAAAAA